TTTAGGTAACCTTGGTTTTACATGAAGAATATTAAATAAACCATAAACAAGAGAAATAATTAGAAATGCATGCTGTAAAAATGAAAAAATAAAATCTTGAATCAATTTGTCTTAATTTTTATTCGTTTCTACTTTTTTTCTGTTTGTTTGTTTGTTTGTTTGTTTGAAGTCACAACTGAAAATGCATTTTTGATTAAAACTTCAGCATAAAGAAAGGAGGGATTTTCAAATAAATTGGGTAACTCTGTATTGTTTTTGTTTTTCAATTGTCTTGTTCAAATTAACTGAAATTCAGCACTACACCACCATCTCATTGTCGTCATCATTATCATCTCACCATCACAGTAATCAATTATCATAATCATTCTAGTCATATTTAACCGTGCATGTAATTAATTATGATTTGTTGATTACGTGTAATAAAAAAAGGTAACTTTGCATAATTGTGTACATATGAAAAACTCTAGGCATAAGTACACATACAGGACTGCATACAAGCATGCATACATAGATAGCGGCGGTAAATCAAAACTCAGATATATATTTATTTTTTTGTTGAATTTAAGTGAACACTTTTTTTTTCAACTTAAACCGAGTTCAATGTTTAATATTTTTTTAATTAATTATTATTTCTACCTTTTTCTTATGCTACGATAGTTACATGAAGAATTGGAGAAGACTTTTGAGAAACATTATTGAGGACACGAGGAATGCATGAATAATTGATTGACTGATTGATGTAAAATTAAAGAATCGCGAACAAAATGAATTAAATAGAATATTTTTTTTTTGAATTTTGTACTTCCTTTGATGACCTTATTGAAACATTTAATTATTATTCGGATTTAGTGAATCTTATGTTGTACATTTGATTGCGTAACGTTTATTTGTGTATTCGTTAATCCATGTAATTTTATTTGATAATTTATTTATGTTAATAATTTAGTGATAAAAATTTGTTAACTGTGAAATTGTTCTGTTCAAGTGTGAAAAGAAATAATTATTGATGACCTTGAGAGGGGGAGCCGTCGCTAATAACCTTTTATTGTAAACTATTTTGACATCAAATTATGTCAATCTCTGATTTTCATTTAATTTGGCACTAAAAGAATTTAAATGTAGACGCTGAGTTTTGCAGAACTTATTGTACATCATGAAGTGACTTAAGTTAGACATGCATTAGAAAGCAGCAAGCAAGCGATAGTTGTTTCATCATATTTAAACAATATAAAATACAGTAGATAAATGACACTTGTGCGAGTAATATGCTTTTAGTACTCATAAGTAACTGTTTGAGTTTGTATGCGTTTACATACAACTATCAAATTCATATAGAAATCTAGATTTTGATTCAATGCTCAATAGTATCAGTTGATTTCTTCATATTACCTACTGATTCTCCAGTTGGGATATTTTTGATGAAAATCATGTGTAAACTGCACCATTCGCCTGAATTAATTGTAACCTTAACTAATCAACTAATCATGTTATTATATTGAGAATTTTGAAAAATAAATTTACTATTTGTTATTTACTAAATTTCAACGATAATATGGTAGTAGATGCGTCCTCTCAAAATGAGTAGCTTTGTAACTAACTGTTCAACAGTGATATTGACTAGCGTGGCTTTATTGGATACATCATTAGCTGAAGGAGTTCATTAAAGTATTTGTACAAGATTATATTGCCATACCCTATGGACACATACCGTCTATAACTATTCAGCTTAGGTATTATATGTTATGATACTACACATGATCTTAGCTCAGAGAGCCGAGAAGCGATATGATATATATATATATATATATATATATATATATATATATATATGGCCATTATTCACATACATCTTCCAACTCAAATATCCTTGAATTTTGTTTTTTTACGATTTGAGATTATTTCTTTAAAAGAGAACTGGACAATCGTGTTGTTAAATCCTGTGCATTCAAAACTTTTACACTGTTGATTGTATGAATTTTTTAACTGTAAATAAGTGGAGAATATTTTTTTCCCAGTACTTCCTTTTTATCATGAACTTTTCAAAAAAAGAACAAGTTTACTGAAAATTCAGAATCAATCAAAAATTTCATTAATAACTGTATAAAAGAGGAATTGTTTACATAATCAGGTTGGATAAAATAACTTAAAAATGGCAATGTGTTTCGCGTAGTAGTTAAACAGCTATGGATGAATGCCAATTTAGGATTTAGGGAGTTATGTTTTGTGAGTCTATTTCAGTAACAAGGAAAGAAAATTAATTTTCCTATTACAAGGTAAAAATTATTTATTTATATGAAAAACTAATTTATTTTTAAGTCCTACAGTGAAATCTGTATTTACATAATATTTAAAAACTATTTAATTGATATAGTTAGTTGTAAAATACAGTTTATATAAAGGATTTGTGTAGTCTAAAATAAACTCATTTTGTATTGCTCTTATTACAGATGTTTTAAAGTATCATCTGAACTGGTTGCTCAAACCGAAATAAATAGTGTGGGATTCAAACAGTTTAAATTAAAACATTTTAACTACCGAGCCACATATCCTCAAATAACTTTTATCAAATATATACCTCATCATTCCGATAGCCGATTTTATCAAAATATTTTAAATTACATTCAGTATAATAAGTACGTATGTCCCACTATGTTCATTTGAGCAGTTTTGAAAGGTTAGTTCGAATCGAGAATAACTCTGGGTACAGAATGAGATTGGTAGGAGAGAATTGAGATGGATCGTTCGTATTGTTACTTAACTAATGTGATTGCAGATGCCAATTAACATCAATCCAAAACTTCTTTGTGGTAAAATTTTTGCAAGGATGTACCACAGAGAAGCTTATTGACTGAAGAGAGTAGGAAATTTGTAATATCTCTGATTTCCTTGGAAATCGTAGACAAAGTAGGACTAATATGACTGTCATAATACAATAATTCAGACATTCTATTTCAGAGCTTCTTCTCAGTCAGTCAGTCAGTCAGTCAGTTACAACGTAGAACTTCGTACGTATGTACATCAGTTCAGGTTGCCATACCACAAGAGCTCCTTATCGGCTGGTTCTGTATAGAATTCGGAATTGAATATTATTCTGCTTTTAAGAGTGAATTCGACGAAAGTAATATTCAAAAATTAAAAACAAAGGAGTAATGCGATTAGAATGTAATAACTAGTTGTTGTGAACAACTGATGAATTTGTCTAGCGTTTACGAAATGATAAGTTAATACCGAAAACCTAATTCACTTCACTATACTAGGATCATTGTCATCAAGTAATTTGCACTTTCATTGATTTACACTGAAGGAAATTATGATTAATTTCTCTTTGTCATGATAGTATGAATAAAAGTCTTACAGAAATGTAGGTTAGAACTTAATTTAACATTTTGTACCAGTCTATTGATTTATGTTGACTGAATTCATTTGATCTTTAATACAACACTTTATTCTAACCCTTATTATTAGTATTAAAGACCCTAGCTCATGTAATTCACATGAATAGATATCTTTTTTAAATAAATAAACAATAATTTCATTAATGTTATTGAAACTAAAGGGTTTGTTAATTTGAAATTTTCATCATCATTCTAGATAATATAATCAATTCCTGATTTTCGAAACCATGAGGAGTCCCATACCAGGACGAAACGGCCGTCCAGTGCTTCCAGGTTTCTAACGGTGGTCTAACATTGATCGATTCATGGTTTCAAAAATGTGTAACTTAACAATCTTCACAACCCCGTAATGCAAATTCTTGATTTGTTTAGAGGTGTGTCAGGTAGGTTTTTGTGTATTGTCTCAAGCTTTTTTCCCTAATCTGATTAATTAAACTATATCAGCCGTGTATTTGTTCGTTTTATAAAATGTTAGTTGGTCGCAAACCATAAAAAAGAGAATGACAAATTTTTTGTCATTCCAAAAAACTCAAAATTTTAAATCACAAAACTAGAAGTTATTTATTCGAATATTTTTAGAACGTTTGGTTCTAAGATAGATGGGTCGATCGGGAAGAATTCAGCAACTGTTTTGAAGTCAAAATCATTAAAAAACACAGATATACATATTTGCAACACTACTATTTACATTAAAAGTATTACATATAGTTTTATGAATTTCACCCTAAATTTTATACTTAGCGTATAATTTACTGATGCGTAAAGGTAATAAATTATGTAAGAATATAATAGTTGAAACAAAGGACTGAAATTTGCTGAATAAGCATAGGATAACTATTCTGTCCTTGTATGGAACAATCAACGATCTCACTTGGGATCGAACTCAGGACCTTTATCTCTAACAGCAGAGACTTGACCTTCAGACCAATGATCCTGCATCTAATCGCTGATTTGTGTAATTAAAATGGATTCGTGATATCACACAGCTATCTTGCAAGACAACTGGTGGGTAATTGGTTTTCATTAGACATCTAATAACATATGCATGCACTATCTGTATCAGTACTATTATACTTGGTTTTAATAAGTCAGACAGTTTTAAGAGCAATTTATCTCACATAATACTCAGTATTTAAGGAGACCGGAGAAAATAAATCACAGACCCGTTTCAGAGTAAAACTATAAAACAGTTGTCCTGGTATGCTTGAAAATTCACAACTAATAGATACATGTTTATCTGAAATAGTCCTGAACTGCTTAACTTCACCAAGGTTTCATGTAACATATTGAAATATAGTCGTGGGTCAGTTCCATGTTTCAAATATTCTAATATTTGATGATCGAATTTTGTCACTATTCTAGCATTATAACTCATTTACCGAACTCACTACTTTCGACTACTGAATAATCCTAAACATCAAAAAACTTATAATTTACTACTGTATACATTATTTTTGATTTATTTAAATCTCTGATGTATACTTGTTGAGTAAACTGCTTTAAGTTATTCTCTCCAATGTTTTATTAGTTTAATTCAAGATGTCTTTTTAGAATAAACTTTGTTTAGTACTCTTAAGAAGAATAATATATAAATAAATGACTTACCATGACCTTCGAAATACCGTTTAATAATATTCGAATTATACCAGTGTATTTGTGATTGTAGTATTTGATTAGCATTTAAATTTTTGTTAGATAAATCCTCATTATAGCCTTCAGAACTAAATGTTTTCATGTTTGCTAAATTTTTATGAAATTTCTTTGTATTAAAACTATTTTTATCATCATTATGATTTGTATCAGATTTATTCGAATGATCATAAAGTGATTTTGTGACTAAATTTAATTGCACATCATTTGTAGACCATTTTTTGATGAATGTTTTAGTAAAATTATCAATTGTATGACTGGCAGCTGTAGAAATAATATCGGCTGTTTTGTTATTGTTATGCTCATTTCTCATCTTGTTGATATGATTGAGTAATGAGCCTATATTGTTGTTTGTATACACAGAATAATCCGAATTATAGGTATGATTGTTGTTGGTTTTGTTAAGATTTGATTCATCCTTATTTCGGCAATGTTCGTTAAATGTCCAATCGATTTGTTCCAATGCTGAATGGTTTTCTGTATCATAATTATCCTGATGTTTCTGTTCTAATGGAGTTTGATCATTCTCGTCAATCTCTTGTCTTTGAATGGATTCGGATGATTTTTTTAAATCAGTGAAAATATCATGGTGTAATTTAGGACAGAGAATTGACTCATCTACGGATTTTGTAGATTCTGTCATACCAAAGGGTAAATTTATTTTAGAAACCATTGTTGTGCGTAATGCATTTATCTGAAAAGAATTATTATTTTGTAGAAATAGATTAAGTGTATTATTGTTTTCACTATGTATTGTACAATTTGAGTTATTAACTACAGCTTTTTGAGCATTTTCATAAATGTGGTCATTATTATTTGTATTATTTGAATTGCTCAATAATTTTGTTTCATCACTATCTAACAGTGAAGCTATTGAAAAAGCGTGATCCATTGTTTTAAATTGTATCAGTGACAATAATCAACATAAAATTAGACAGGTAACCGTTATAATATATAAATAAGTAGTTAGTTTGTTTAATAATTTAAAATTAAATGCTATAGGCATTGAGAATAAGTTCAATTCGTATATATAAAAATTCACATACATATGGTGATTGCATAATGACTGGTTTTGTATGTATGTCTGTTTGTTTAAGGAGAATTTGACGATCTCTTTTTTCTCAGTTTTAATAGTGTCCTGATTATGTAGTTTTATCATTAATTTGCCTGAAATACCAAACATTTCATTATGCGTTTCATCAACCAATCAGAAACAAATAAAATTAAATAAATATCATGCGTAATTACACGGTCATAGATATGTATTTTCAATTTGATTGGATAAACATGTGCATAGATAAAATTCGGTTTTTCCATTAATGTATTTATCATTTAATGACTGAGTTCTATTTATTAGAGTAATACATATTGGTGATTCTGTCTCAAACCTTCATATTTACTATGCTTATGTTTATCATCTTTAGGATTCATAGCAGACAGTTATAGATAATTCTATAAAATTGAAATAAGATCGTTTGTGAATGTTGCGCATTAATATTTAGTGCAATATAGAACACGCTTACCGGATATTTAAAACGTTACAAATAACTTTGCCTATTTAATACTCAAAATAATTTAAAGTAATGGAGTGAATAATGTGATGTTTATCCCTTTATTCCCTAATCTAGTACAAAAGAAAAGATGATGATATTCGTTGATACTTAGGTATCGAAGTCTTCCATGTAATCCAATCGTTAGCTAGTTATTCATCATATAAAAAAGCTTTTTGACTCCTTACAAGGAAGTAAAAATGCTCCAAATTCAAAAATTCCTCATAATTGTCGGACACTAAATGTTATTATTTGCATTTCTGAGCAACTTGGTTAGGGTTATACTGCTTAGCTTCGTTCAAATATTTTAATTTCGAAATTTTAAATCGAAAATCTACTTGTCTTTAACAGATTGATTATAGACTGCATCATGTTCTCATACAAGACATACACAAAGCGACATGGGTTTCACCGGATCACACTTTACACAAACAGACTGACCATATCTGCATCAATAAAAAGTACAGAAGGACGGTGGAGGACATGAGAACCAAGAGAGGAACTGACAAGGCCTCAAGTCATCATTTGGAGGTGGCCAAAAATCCCTGGACAACTAGGCAGACATCACAAAGGTTTACTACGGTAATTCTCCGGGATACTGACAAATTGAACAAATTCAAGATAACCCTCAGCATTAGGTTCCAGGCTTTTAACTATCTACTGATTGGAAAGCAAACCACCATGGAGAACACATGGAACGGGATCAAGGAACCAATCACTTCAACATGTTAGGAGGTTCTGGGCTACAACTAGTACAATCACAAGGAATGGATCTCTGTCAGTACTCTTGAAAAAAATTCAAGGAAGGAGGAATACGAGGGCAACAAAAAATATAAATCAAGCCAGATAATAGAAAGCTAAGGCACAAGTTGAGTATACAGAAGCCAACAAGCAAGTTAAGAGGAGTATCAGAGCCGGCAAATGTAAATATGTGAAAGATCTACCAATGAAGGTATAAAAGGCATCGGGGAAAGGACGCATGAGATACATGTATGATAGAACAAAACAGCTAGCCAGAAATTATCATAATCCAGGGCGACCAGTGAAAAGCAAGGAATTAATCAGCAACATTGACGGATAACAAAACAGGTGTGTAGAGCACCTTAAGGAACCCTTGGATCGACCAGCCCCCTGAACCCACCCAACATCAAAGCATCACTCGTGGACCTCCTAATCAGTGTTGGCCCACTAACTAGTGAAGAAATAAACATGACCATCAGGTGGATCAAAAGTGGCAAAGCAATAGCTCCAAATAACATGTCAGATGAGGCATTGAAAACAGATATAAAAGTAGCTACAAAGATGCTCCACGCCCCTTTCGGCAGATCAGAAATAAGGATGTCTTATGAAGAAATCAAAGAAAGGGGGTATTCGCATTTGCGAAAACTACAGAGGCATCACTCCACCCTAAGTACCAGTCGAAGTCTTTAACAGGGTGTTTTTAAACTGACTGAGGGTTTCATTAGACGCTTAACTTCCAAAATTGACTTTTCTGGTTAGCGTTTTTTAGCGAGTTAGTTTTCAACGGGATGGAGTCAGTGGCCACACACTGAACCCTTATTCTTTATCTGGGATTGGAACCGAGAGTAGCCCTAGAGGGGCTCCGAAGGATGCAAATACTTAGTAACAGTTGTCTACACAAAATACTTCGGGTTCGTTGACCAGACACCATGAGAAACAACCTAATGTGGGAGAGAGAAAACCAGATTCCAGTAGAGAAGGAAATCAGCAAGAAGCGCTGGCAGTGAATAAGACACAAATTTCGAAACGCATCCGACTGCGTCACAAGACAAAGCAAAAGAGGATGACGAAGCAACAAATTACGTCTAGAATTGGGGACAGACATCAAAATAATGAACAGCAATGGGATAGAAGTGGAGAAGAAAGCTCAGGACGAAGTTGGTTGGAGAACACTGGTCGGCTCCAGTGCTCCAGTGGGGGTGACAGGCGTAAGTAATTAAACATGCAGAACAACAGTTTGGATTTCGCAAGGATCGGTTTTTTACTGACCACTGCGGATCATTGTCAAACAGTAATTGAAATGAAACTCACCACTACATATTACTTTATTTGACTATGAGGAAGCGTTTAACAGAGCGTACAGGAGGACATAATGAAAAGCTTCTTAGAAACCATCGTGCACCTAGAAAGAGAGTCAAAATCATACCGAATTCTTATGATCGATTAAGCTGAAAAATCGTGCATGGAGGATAGCTGAAAGACTCGTTTCAAGTGAGAGTCGGCATCAGAAAAGGCTGCTGACTCACACCCTCTCTGTTTTCTGCTGGTTGACAGGATTATGGAAACGTCAACATCTCAAAAGAAGCGATGTATATGGTGGTTATCTCGGATGCAGCTAAACATTTTGGACTTTGCAGATAACCTAGTTCTTTTATCTCACATAGCGAAAAATACAGATGAAGATTGCCAGTGCAGCAATAGACCTCATCATACACAAGGGATAAATTAAGATCCTTGAATGCAACAAAACATGCACCAACTGAACCCTACATGATCGAGAAGCTTTGAAGATGTGGAAACATTTAGATATCTAGGCAGAATTGCTGGTAAACAAGGTGGATCTGATGCAGATGTAAAGACATGATTTGAAGAAAGAAAAGAGAAAAGAGAACAAACTAGATTCCAGTTGAGGAATGAATTCGGAAAAAAAGTAGGAGGTGGATAGGACTCATATTGAGGAAAGCATTTAGTTGAATCTCATGACAAGCCTTCACTCGGAATCTGCAAGGTCAAGGGGCAAGAGGTAGACCAAAGTATACATTGTACTGACAACTGAAGGCAGATATGAGTAGAACGAATAGCTATTGGGAAGAACTGGAAGGGTGGGATGAGGATAGGATCAGATGGAGAATGCTTGTATGGGACCAATGCTCCATCACGGATAAAAGGCCTAAGTAAGTAATGTTTCCCGTGAAACTTGGACACTCACTCCTCACTGCCACAGAGAGGGACACAACCGGTGAGTTCTAAAAACTGAGAATAAGTCAATTTATCGGACTAAGATATTGTAACTATTACACCTATGCCATGCTTGATTTTTTCAGCTAAGTTCACAGCGGAGCTATATTATATTTACTATTACTGAATCGCTGATGCAAACTTAATCAATTAGTTAATGTAATTTTCAAGCAGCAGAAAATAAAGATGATCTGTTTCTTATTGTTTTGATTTAAAAACTCTTCTTGGATACAAGACCACAATGTTCCGATAATACGAGCTCCTAATCTGTACGAGATCAGATTATTCGTTGTATAACACTGAGTACTGGGTATATAATTCATTAACTGTAATGAATGCATGGTAAGCTCTATGTCAAAAGCTAACGAGTTTAGTGAAAGTTTACTTTTGGGAGAATATCAGAATAGCACGAATCAGTTATCATATTTTTATAGGGACATCAGATAATAGCATTCAAACTGTACTCTTGTTTATCTATTCTCGCATTCCCAATATTACATTTTCCAGCCTTTGATGATGAATGACGGTCTCTATACCTTTTACTTGTTATTTTATTATATATTTCCAAAGGCATAGTTTTTATTATGTAGACAGTATTTCCGTTTTATGAGTTGAGATTTTTCTACGAATCGAAAGTGATCCCATCAACCCAAACTCTCTCATATTAACTGTTTTTTTGGGGTGGGGGTAATACTGCCGAGGGCATTTTAATATGAAGCAGATAGCTGGTCAGGAGAGAATACGGGAAACGTAGTGTCTGGCTTAGTCCTCTATGAGAAATATATACCAGAAGGAGAGAAACTTATGACGAAGAATACGAGCGTCGATTAGTTTTTTCGGACTGAAGTGAACAGATTTTCGGTTAAATTTCTTTTGTAAAGAACTTATTTTAACCGTTAAATTATTTAAGGGCAATTAAAATATTTCCCACTTATCGAGCACTTGAAAAAATAATAGAAAAGCAGGTATAATGTAGATTAACAATTATAGAGTATTGATTAAGCGTCTAACCACATGGCTAGGTGACGCGTAAATCTAGTTAATAGAAATTCAAGATTGTTTTACAAGGAAGATACCATTACTGCAAAATGATATGAGATACAGTGAATACCGAAATTCGCAAGTTATTTACTGTAAATATGGAGCCTGTGTATGATTAAGGTAAAGTGCTTTCTTAAATAAATATTTGTATTTACATAGAGTGACACAAGATGAACTATGGAATAGTTATAATGTAATTTTTGCAAATTTTAGGTAAATGCAATCGAAATCATACATAAATGGAATTTCACAAGTTTCTGTAAATATTGATAACTGTAATACAAGAACTAAAATGCGCTTCACAGTGAATTCAAGATTTTTT